GGGAAGAGCAGAGGGCTAGTACTAGTAGCACCAGAAAGAATGAAGCAACTGGGTGAAAGCCAATAGGACACTCAGTTGCGGATGTATCTGGTGGTGAAAGGAATGTCCGATGCTGTAAAGAGTGAGATCCATGAATGTGAGATCCATGAATCAAAGTAAGCTGGACGTGGCCAAACATGAGATGACAAGACTGAACATTGACATCTTGGGGATGTTGTTAGTCGCGAACTCGTGTCTGACCCATCGCAATCCCATGGACGACATTCCTCCAGACCTTCCTGTCGTCCACCATCCCCCAGAGGTCACTCAAGCTCACACCAACTGCTTCAGTGACTCCATCTAGCAACCTCATCCTCTGCCATCCCCTTCTTCTTTTGCCTTCAATTGTTCCCGGCATTAGGCTCTTCTCCAGGGAGAAATATTTGAGTTTCATCTTCAGGATCTGGCCTTCTAAAGAGCTGTCAGGGTTGATCTCCTCTAGGACTGACTGGTTTGATCGCCTTACAGTCCAAGGGATTTGCAGGAGTCTCCTCCAGCACCACAATTCAAAGGCCTCTATCCTTTTGCACTCAGCCTTCCTTATGGTCCAACTTTCACAGCCATGCATTGCAACTGGGAAAACCACAGCCTTGACTATATGCACTTTTGTCGGCAGGGTGATGTCTCTGCTTTTTAGTATGCTATCTAGATTTGCCATAGCTTTCCTCCCCAGGAGCAAGCATCTTTTAATTTCTTGGCTACAGTCCCCGTCTGCGGTGATCTTGGAGCCCAGGAAAATAAAATCAATCACTACCTCCATTTCTTCCCCATCTATTTGCCAGGAAGTGACAGGACTGGATGTCATGATCTTAGTTTTCTTAATGTTGAGTTTCAAGCCAGCTTTTGCGCTCTCCTCCTTCACCCACATCAAGGGACTCCTTAGTTCCTCTTCACGTTCTGCCATGAGAGTGGTATCATCTGCATATCTGAGGTTGTTATTTCTCCAGCAATCATAATTCCAAATGGTGATTCATCTAGGTCTGCCTTTCTCACGATGTGCTCTGCATAAAAAATTAATAGGCAGGGCGACAGTATACAGCCTTGCCAAACTTCTTTCTCAATTTTGATCCAAGCACTGGTTCCATGCCCAGTTCTCACTGTTGCTTCTTGACCAGCATATAGGTTTCTCAAGAGACAAATAAGATGGCCTGCTACTCCCATCTCTTTAAGAACTTGCCACAATTTGTTGTGATCCACACAATCAAAGGCTTTAGCATAGTCAATGAAGCAGAAGTAGGTGTTTTTCTAGAACTCCCTAGCTTTCTCCATGATCCAGCGTATATTGGCAATTTGATCTCTAGTTCCTCTGCCTCTTTGAAATCCTGCCTGTACTTCTGGCAGTTCTTGGTCCACATACTGCTGGTGCGTAGCTTGTAGGATTCTGAGCATAACTTTGCTAGCATGTGAAATGAGTGCAATGGTGCGGTAGTTTGAACATTCTTTGGCATTGTCCTTCTTTGACCAAGGTTCCATTTAGATGACAGGAAGCACTTCCTGACATTTAGGACCCCAAGGGTGTGGAATGGGCTTCCACAAGAGGTCATTGAGGTCCCATCAGTGAGGGTGTTCAAAGATAGGTTGGACATGCACATGGTGGGCATGTTGTGAGCAGAGCCAGCTGGTGCCAGAGGTCAGACTAGATGGCCCGGAAGACCTCTTCTGACTCACTCTGTTTCTATGTTTCTTTGGGATGGGAAAGTAAACTGACCTTTTCCAATCCTGTGGCCACTGCTGAGCTTTCCAAATTTCTGGCATATTGAGTGTAGCACATTTACTGCATCATCTTTTAAGATTTTGGATAGCTCAGCTGGGATACTGTCACCTCCACTAGCTTTTTTGTTGCTCAGACTTCCTAAGGCCCATTTGACTTCACATTCCAGGATGTCTAGCTCAAGGTCAGTAACCACCCCATGCTGGTTATCAGGGATGTTAAGCCCTTTCTTGTATAGTTCTTCTTTGTTATCTTGCCACCTCTTTTTAATCTCCTCTGCCTCTGTTAGGTCCCTGCCATTTTGGTCCTTTATCATACCCATCTTTGCATGAAAGGTTCCCTTCGTATCTCCAATTTTCTTGAAGAGATCTCTGGTCCTCCCTATTCTATTGTTTTCTTCTATTTCTTTGCACTGTTCATTTAAGAAGGCATTCTTATCTCTTCTAGCTATTCTCTGAAATTCTGCATTCAGTTGGGTGTATCTTTCTCTTTCTCCCTTGCCTTTCACTTCCCTTCTTTCATTAGCTATTTGCAAAGCTTCCTCAGACAGCCATTTTGCTTTCTTGTATTTCTTTTTCTTTAGAATGGTTTTAGTTGCTACCTCTTTTATAATGTTCTAAAAAGCAGGGACAGCACCCTGCTGACAGAAGTGCGTATAGTCAAGGCCATGGTTTTCCCATTTGTAATGTATGGTTGTGAAAGTTGGACCATAAGGAAGGATGAGTGCTGAAGAATTGTGGTGCTGGAGAAGACTCCTGTGAGTCCCTTGGACTGCAAGGAGATCACACCAGTCATTCTTAGAGGGGACCAATCCAGACTGCTCTTTAGAAGGCTAGATATTGAAGATGAAAGTCAGATACTTTGGCCAGCTAACGAGAAGGAAGGACTCACTGGAGTAGACCCTCATGCTGGGAACAACTGATGGCAAAAGTAGAAGGGGATGGCAGAGGATGAGGTGGCTAGATGGAGTCACTGAAGCAGTCAGTGTGAGATTAATGGACTCCCAGGGATGGTGGAGGATAGAAGAGCCTGGAGGAATGTTGTCCATGGGATCACGATGGGTGGGGCATGATTTCACAAATAACATAACATAATTATCCAGATAAAATAATTTTATTGGTGTCATGTCCCATTTCCATACTAATTCATAAAAGTTTTCCTTAATTCTAATTGACATAATTGTTAAGATTCTCTTATCCATATTTCTCACCATTCTTTCTTGTCTATATCCTTCCCTAAATACATCTCCCATGAATTTTAAAAAGATCCCCTATCTAATAAGACCTTATCTATCTCACTTATACTCCCCCTTGTTTGCATATTACCTTGTGTCTCCCCATTCACCACAATCTCCTCAGATTTAGTAAGGTCTCTACAATTACTATTTTTCATCAACCATTCTCTAGTCCATTGTTCCAATTGCATAACATTAAATCAAGTTCAATTTTAACACTCCCCACCTATTGCTGCAAAGTAAAAACCAAATTTTCTGTGCAGATCCACCACAAGAACATTTTCTCATCAATTTCTAAATCTGGTTTTCCTGGCAGAGTCAAACTGGCATGAGAAAGTGGGTCAAAGTGTGATTGCCATGATATTGTCAGCTGTGACTGTGGGAGGAACTCCATCCATTCCGGTAAGCTTAGCTTCCTATGCCATCCATTTAGACAGAGGACCCTGTCAAGAAGATTCCAGAGCTGCTCAAGGTGGCAGATCTAATCTCTGGGGGAAAGACCACAGTTTTGCATAGGTCAATAAATAGGCCTGATGATGTAAAGCAACATCCAGATTGCCACGTCCACCTTCTAAAGGAAAGCATGCATTCTCTTCAGGACATTCATAGTTGAGAGGAAATTCAAAAAATGCACAAACATTACCTTTTTTGGAAATGTTTCCTGGAAATGGAGGACAGGATCCTATGTATTGGATATTTCAAAAAATAGCAAATTTATAATATTCGTCTTAAGTATACTAACTTTAGGTCATATACTCCAAGTATGACCATCTGTCTATTTTGTGTCATGCACACATTTGAAAAGCATTGCCTGCACTTCTTCATCCAAATCACTGTTAAAGTGTTGAAGAGCACTGGGTCCATGACTCAACCATTTGTCACTTCTCAATTAGGTAAGGTGCCATTGATGAGCACACTTTGAATCCAATTCTGGACTCATCTGTGCGTCAGTGCATCATGTAGCCCACTTTGAGCTCACTCGTAATTGGGATATCATACAGTTATGTTTTTTTATACTAGGAAGAGGCCTTTGGATCAGTGCCTAGGAACTGGGGACAATCTATGCCAGGGGTTGTAGTCCTGACTCACTGACACTTTACTTAGTGTTCAATCCAGCTCAGCATCCTCATTCTATTTCTGGCATTACATCCCAGATTTCTTCAGACCATGCACATAATGTCTCTTAAATATGTTGCCGTTTCCCCTGGTATAGAAACCGCTGTGTGGTGAAGTTGTGGGACTGCTCCACAGCCAGGAGGAGTGTTTTCAGCAGGCTGCTTGTCTGCAGGGGAAGGAGTCTTACTGGGACTCAGGCAAAACAGCAGCAGCTCAAAGCACTAAATCCTCCAGTTGCTTTACCAGCTGCTTTGTCCTTGCGTTTCTCACTCAGTAATGTGATGCTCCCTCTCTCTTCACCATCCTTTGAGAAAAAACATTTATGATGATTTTTCAAGCCAACACGAAGGACACCCACTCATTGCAGAACACCAGCCTGCTGCACATGATCAATTTGGCCTCATTGAATGTCCTGGGCAGCTTTCTGGATATGAAGGCCTCTGTGAAACAGAATGCAGTCAGGAGGCCCATTTTGCCAAGAGTGGTATTGAACATGATGCCAAACACGTCATTAAAGTTTAGGATGATCTGCCCGGCACAGGGATGCTTGGAAAGCAGAGATGATTACAATGGGATACCCCAAAATGTTTCATCCATAGACTTTCTTAGAGACAATGGTCCACCTGTGTGGCCATAATTCTGGTCCATCCCTCAAGCTCACTTTCTGAATAATTCATTTTAACGTCTCTTTTAAAGTCTGTTAATACCAGATGTTTGTAGAAGATTTCTTGGTTGCAAAACATGCACATGCCATTTTAGATTGCATCACTAGAAGTATGTTTGTGGTGCTGCATCTGAAGTGGAGAAAATTGTTTCTGTGGGTGTTCTTATGAAGGGAGCTTCATGGAGGCACTGCACAAGTAGCATCCTGCTTATACATAATGTGCAGCAGATGCCAGGCTACGATTTCATCATTAGATGCTGTTTGCTATTATGTTCTGGTTTCAGGATAATGATGTAACATTTGGGGATGAAGATACAACCCAATAACCCCAAACTGGAGGCCAAGATAGAGAAGATCTGCACAGCTACCATGTATTTCCCTTTGGTGCTCAGGTAGGCCAGCACAAAGGACACCCACACGCTGCAAAAGACCAGCATGCTGAAGGTGATGAGCTTGGCCTCATTGAATGTCCCAGGAAGCTTTCTGGCTAGGAAGGCCACCGTGAAACAGACAGCAGCCAGAAAGGCCAAGTAGCTGAGGGCAGTATAAAACAAGGTGGTCGACCCTTCATTGCATTGCAGGATGATCTGCCCAGGCTGGGACTGCATGTCAGAATCTGGGAAAGGGGGAGACATTCCCAGCCAGAGAAGGCAGATGCCCGCTTGAATGCTCGAGCAAGAAATAACAATGACATTTGCCAGACCCTTCCCCAGCCATCTCCTCATCCTGTTTCCTGGCTTCGTGGCCATAAATGCTGCCACCACCATGACCGTTTTGGCCATCAAAGAGGAGACCGCAACAGAGAAGATGATGCTGAAGGTGGGTTGTTGGAAGAGGCAGGTTGCCTTCTGGGGCTGCCCAATGAATAGAAAGGAGGACAAGAAGGAAAGCAGGAGGGAGACAAGGAGTATGTATGTGAGGTCACAGTTGTTGGCCTTGACTATAGTTGTGTCTCGATATTTAACAAAGATGCCCAGAATGAGACTGGTGCTGAGGGACAAGGAAAGGGCAATGAGAGACAGGGAGATCCCCAAAGGTTCTTCATAGGAGAGGAAACTGATCCGCTTTGGAATGCATTGATCTCGGTCCCGATTTGGATGCTGGTCCTCTGGACACTTGGAGCATCGGTCTGCATCTGAAATGAATGGGAGAAGCAACAGCTGGTTTAATATGAACTACTCTAGACCAGTCATACCCTGCTGTTCCCAGACTTCAAGCTGAAATGGCATCCCACTGCCCTGCTCTAAAAGATATATTTGGGGTGGAGTTTCCACCAATATCCTGTCCACAACAGCAGTATCAGGAAAGGAATGGGAGAATGCTTAAAAAGATGGACACACAATGTGCAGTAGGAAAGGGAGCCAGCTCATTTCAAACCCCTTTGAATCAGAAATGACAAAATTATGGCTTCCTTGCTTGGGGAAATCATAAGAACGCAAAACTCCCTGGAGGAGCCAATCATGTGAGGAAAAGGTGAAGGCAGAAGAAAAAAAGGAAGATCAGCTCTGAGAAGGATTGATTCCACCAAGGAGGTTAGATCCCTGAATGTACAGGAACTGAGCAGGACTGTCATAGATCATCTATTTTGGAGGGTTTTCATTCATTGGGTTGCCGTAAGTCAGAGAGGACTTGACAGCACATTCCAGCAAAACCCAGAGTGACTGGGTGACCTCCCAGTCTTTTCATATAGCTACAGAAGAGCATGGGGGACAAGGCAGAATGTTGTGGGGAAGCATAGACCATGAGAGCACAATTGAACAATCATCTCCCTGCTCCCTTGCTCTGATCCAGGATACCTTTTACCATGTCCTTGAAAGACTCAGCTGGAAATCTGGAAGACTCCTTTTAAGTCAACATGTGAAACCAACTAGCAAATATATTAATAATTACATATTAGCGAGAAAGCGGTCCAGTGCGAGAACATATTTTTAAACCCCTCTAATATATACCATGAGGGAATGGGTCTGTGTCTGTGCATGCCCAGCAGTCCCCTACCTTCCTGCATGGAAATGGCCCCTTCAGAACATGGGACGCATGCGTAGCAGCAGACCGGCCTGCCTTCCTCAACCGTCTTAGCATACCCAGGCTGGCAACTTCTTGTGCACCTAGAAAAGGGCACTGTCTGAACAGAAAGAGAGGGTGTGTCAGGCATCCTGATCTAGGAAGGGGGATTTGTTTCTACTTGGAATCAAATGATAGAATTGAGATGGGACTAATGAAGCTCTGGTGGTCCCAACCCGATTTTACCACCCCATTTCTCCTGGCCCCTTTCTGAGGAAAGAGCTGGTGAGGGAACAAAGCAGCATCTCAAAGAAATCAAGTCAAGCTGTGCCTTGACAGCAACAATTTCCTCAGGGAAGGGTTTCTACCAAATTACATTCTGTATTCGCATAGTGATCCTACTGTACCCTTTCAGTTACTGGGCCTTCTTCAGATCAAAACTATCAAAGCAGGATGTGCAACTCTGGCCCAATCCTTTCCCACTAGAAGGCTACAAATGTGGGGTGCTTCAGAAAACTGGTGTGGGGCAGAATCCAGTCTTCTCCCATGGGAAGGGGAGACAGAGGGAGGCAAGAAGTCATAGGGTAGAAGCCATGCACTGCAGGCAGGTCTCAAGTTGATGTCTGGACAACTCCAACAGAAGCAAGCAGCAAGTGATGCTGGAGACCTTTCACTGAAACACTGGAGCCATTTGGAATTGCACAAGTGCATCGAATGCAGGCTCACCCATCAGGCATGTGGTGGGAGGACTTGTTAATTCACAAAAGATACTCATTGCCCATAAGGAAAGCAGGTGTGGCTAAAAGAAAGAACACATATTGAAAACCTTACATCCAATCTCCAAAGCACAAAACCATGAACACAAAGCCTCTTCTGAGGCAATTGTTTCATATCTGGGCCTAGACTTTGCTCTCCAGGTGGAAACAGATGGCCAAAATGTGCAGGACACTTTCTCAGCTCATAAGTAACTAGGACAGTGAATGGAGCAATACTTATCTTGGAGTCATTGTGACTAGAACTGTTGGCTATTAAAGGTAATGAGGGAAACAGGTATTTTTCCTACCTGATTAAATGACTGGGGCCACCTAATGGCACTTGGATCAATGACAAACTGAATCTTGGAGGAGGCCTGTCTCTCTATGCTGCCCACATTCAGCCCAGCCGTGGACTTGTTGGGAAAAACCACCCAGTTCAGGATATCAAAATCAGCTGCCAGATCCCCATTTTCATCCAAATACATTCCAGGCATGGAAGCATTGCAAGACTGGAAGTTTTTCAGGAAAGGGTGAAGCTAGGACAAGATGAGACAAGACAAAACAAAACAGGTTGAGTGGAAAAGGTTTTGTTATACTGGAAATCCCCTGTGCTCCAGTCACTACAACCAAGACAGGAGGATGAAAGGGGTTCCACTGCAAAATCTTCCGCAGGACCAAATTTCCCCATCTAGGGGAACTGCATCTTCAAAACCAGCCAATCCTGCTATACAAGTCAGCCCTGGAATTTGGTGGTCCAAGATTCTGCAGGACCACATTTCCCCATCCAGGAAACAGAAAGGATGCATCTTCAAAATCAGGTCATCATGCAGTGTGTGTCAGCTCTGGCATCTAGTGCTCCAATCTCAATTCATACTTTCAGGCTCAGGGTGGCTATGAGTTTTGCAGTTATTGCTTTAACTTACAACAGACCTGAGTGACTCAAAAAGTTCTCACTTATTTGGGCAGCTCATGGAGAGCAATCATCTTGCTGACCTCCACACTCCCTTCAATCAAGGAACTGATTGTCAATTTCATTGGATTTATCTCTAAAAGCAAGGGAATACCTGCCATGTCTGGACCCTTTTCGGTGCCAGCCTGTCTCTGCCCACCAGCCGCATCGGATTCCTCCCGGGTAAGTGTGCAGCATGCAAGGTCTGTGCCACAGCCTGGATGGAGTTGTAAATGCTGTATGAGTCTTGAGACAGGATATCTTCAATCTCATCCTGGGGCAGGCTCCCCACCTTCTCCTCTTCCCTGCATCTTTCCCACACTTTGCCGGAGAAAGCATGACTGGTGTAAAAACACTGAAATGCTTTCTCTCCAAATTGCTTGATAGTAGAGAAAAATGCATCAAAATTGTCATAGCGTGCCCTTTTGTTTGTCTTGGTGGAGAAGGACAGGGCCACATGGGTATGCTGAAGATCAACAATTCTGTAAAGCAGTCTGATGCTGAGGTCCTGCAAAGCTGTAGCAATGCAAACTTTCCCCACAGTTGATTTTTTCAGCAGTTCAATATTTGTCATTATTACTGCTATAGTTAAGATGGCATTGGAGTCCACCTGACAAACAACTACACTGACTTGAGTGTCCATCAAATACACAATTGTGCTCAATTGTTTGTGTTTCATTGCCACTGGGATATACTGTGAATATGCGATGCAAATGCCGTTGTTCCTGACCAGGGCTGTAAAGGAGCTCACAAATCTTTGTCCACTTCTGTTGTCTGAACCTAAGAGACCGATCCACGTCCACCTGAAATGCAGGAGCAGTTTGATGATCCCCAGGTAAGGAGGTTCTGATTTTGGTACCATCCGATAGAGAAAAGGGGCCTTAGTATCATGACTAACAAAACCGTAACTGACCTAGGAAAGAGCAAAAGAGTTTAATGATTTGCTTTCCTTTTAAAAACAAAAATAAAAGCTAAATAACTTTTATCTTTTGTTATCTTCAAAAGTTATTAAAAGCAATCAATTGTCAGTCAGGAACAATAAACCTTTCCACTTTACAAATACTTTCAAGTGTCATGCCTCCCTTAGGACTCTTTGTAACATTTAGACTCCCTCCCTCCCTCCCTTTGGGCAAGAAACTCCGGGACCTAAAGGCCCAAGTGGTCTTTTCCTCCATTGTGCTGGTCTGGGGATTTGGGTCAGCCAGGGAAAGGAGGGTTTCCAAGCTGAATGACTGGCTCAGGGTGTCGTGTCAGAAGGAATGCTTCAGGTTCCTCAACCACAACACCCGGTTTCTTGCCAATGGACTTCTGAGGAGAGACAGGGTGCACCTCATGAGGATGTGGAAAAGGTCCTTCGGAAATGCTCTAGCAGGCTTCATCCAGAAGGCTTTAAACTGAGTCAGATGGGCAGGTTCAGCCCTCCCCCCACCCCGAGAAACTTGTCCTGTTTGGACAAGTGAGGGGAGAGGACCAGGGTTTCGGAACGAGAATGTTAGAGGTACTGCAAGGGCTGGCAGGACTGCTATGAAGAGGGGCACAATATCAGGGAAGATGGGAGGAAGGAGGAGACTGGGGGACCCAAAGAAAGGGATCTGTGAGAAAGAGCTGCGATGCATGTACATCAATGCCAGGAACATGGAAATAAGCAGGAAGAGTTTGAGGCTCTCCTGGGAATAGGAGGGCATAACCTGGTGGGGATCACAGAAACTTGGTGGGATGGAAGGCAAGATTGGAATGTAAACATAGAGGGGCATGACCTGTTTAGAAAGGACAGGAAGGGAAAGAGGAGAGGGGCATACACCTCCCCCCTCCCAAATTCAATAATTGATGTCCTTCTGGTTTCCATTTAAGGTAATTTTAGCTCTGGAAGAAGTTCTGTCCTCCTCACATGGAGACGGACTGGATTCAGAGGACACAATATGCAACTCTGGCCTTGAAGCTACCCTGGTTTACCATGTTGTGTGTTCCCAGACAGTATCAACCACGGAAAACTTACTGCATTTACTTATAGCATCATTCCAAATATCACCAAACTCCACCATGAACTGCTGAGGGAGGATCCATTTTACATGAGGGAGCTTCAAACCTTTCTCAAGCCATGTTTTGCTCTTCTGAGACTGGTCCTGCCTTCCTCCAGCTGTACCCAGAGTTGATCACGGAATGGCTGACTGCAATGACTCCAAAGTGGAAGCAGTCAATCAACACCGCCCCCCCCCCCACACACACACACTCAATTGTACCTGTGGGATTTTGTAGAGGCCAAGCATGGTTGAAATCTGCTTGGAAAGTTCAGAGTTGGCCCCCTCAAGGACAGCCAACAGAGTAGTCCCTCTTCCACAGCTGTAGCCTGGAACATGCTGCTGCCCAACAGACAGCAGGTCTACCAGGGCCTCATATGTCATTCTTGCACTGAAAAAGTTCTCGTAGATGTTGTAGCCCAGGGTGACATTGGACAAGAGCCTCGGATGCTGGTTGACCTCCCAAATGGCAAACAAGAAGGGCAAGATGTACCAGGAACTCATACCTGCTATTCTGCAATGAAAAGAGAAGTCATCAGATTGTCATTATTCCACAAAAACATCAAATTCCTGCAACATTCATTAAAATACAACTCTTGAACCTCATGGAACCACACTCCTAGTTAGCTAAGGAAAGATTTCCTCTCAATATAAACAGCGGAATTCAGGGAACAACTTCTTCAAGCCCATGGCAGGGAGGAAAAAAGGCAAATACTCTTTTCCACCCTGAAGAGTTTTGAACCTATTTGTCCACCATGTTAAAAAAACTATTTGTTCAGTATTAAAAGGAGGCTTTTAAAGTGCAATAAACAGTTTGTATCATTTTTGTACTTTAATTTCATTTATAGTCTACCTTTTTTGTGCAAGAAACCCATAGTGCATACAAAATCCTCTTCTTCATTTTACAAATTCCTGAGGTAGCTCAGGGTGGGCGTCAGTGTTTGGCCCAAGATCACACAGCTAACTTGATGGCCAAGTGCAGATTAGAACCTGCATCTCAGTGGTTCTCTTGCTCCCATGCCTTCAAAGTGAGAACATAAAATATCAGAGCTGATCCCCATATCAACTAATTTCCTTTCAATCAAGAGCAGCAGTGCTGAATATCTCTGTGTGGAATTTTGAGAGAGCCATGAGGTCAATCCTCAGAAATTTTCCTTGCTGCATTGGATTCATCCCTTTCTTCCTGCTTACTTCCTCCAGTACCTGCTCAGTTCCAAAATTAGGTGACTATAGGAGACTTATGGGGAAAGTGAAGGGGAAGGTCTATCCTCCCCCTCCCCCTCCCCCTCAATTCCTGGATGCTGGTAATTGCACAAAGCTGACAGGTGGCTGGAGGGATAAAGTACCTTCCTGCACCATGCATATGTGAACTATAGGATTGGCTACCACAAATTAGTGATGTTCACCATTTGGATAACTTTATAGGGGATTAGAAAAATTATTGGAGTATGTAGACAACAGTGGCTCCTAAACCCCCGGGGGCTGCATGTTACTTCCAGTTCCACAGTCAATATGGCGATGCAAACCTATCCCATTTAACAAATGATTTCATTAAAGGATACTAAGAATCTTTCAACTTTTAATTCACTGTTAAGTATTCAGTCAGATGGTAGACTGGTTATTTATTTAGTATCACTCCATCACTCAAGAGCTCATTCAAAGCAAACACCACACCTGATCTCAGATACCAGAACTTTTTACTACCCTCAACATTGGATGCAAGGATGTTGAATACACATGAAATAATGGTATAGAAGAAAATGTTAGAAATACTTCCCATGAACCATGCTGATGTGAAGTGGAGAGGAGACACAAGTATAACAAGTAATGACTGCCTTTTCTTAAATTTCATATTGCCTACTATTACCAAATATCCCTGATATATTTAGGAAATCATATTTGGTATAGTTCATTTATGTGGATTAAGGTATTTTTGTTTGGGTTCAGTACTTCCAAGGATATTTAGAATACAAATATGATAACTGTGAGATTATGTCTGAAGATTACAGGAAGAAACTGAAAAATCAATAATCTGAGCATGTGCAATTTGACTTCCATTAATTTGCTGAAATAGGTGAGTCAAATGCTGTCCTGATACCAAGTAGGTTTAGCTGCTGTCCTCTTTAGTCCTATTTCTGTGGAAATTGATACTACCTTTGCAAAGTAAACTCAAGAAACAAGCATCTGCTGCTGCTGCCCTCAGCATCTTTTGTTTTCTGGGCAGCTTTCTGAGGTACCCCTCACCTGCAGGGCCCCAGATCCCAACTGCGGCTCTGCTGCCCTAGTATGTTGGGTGCTGGTGCTGTGAGGAGTTCAGAATGAACCTGGAGCAAGAGGAGAGAAACATGGACAGAATTGTCTGGAGGTAGATCCCAGCAAAGGAAGAATCACTCTTCCTGCTAAAAAGGCACACTTGGAAGGTATGAATTCAGGATCAGGCATCTCATCACTTACGAAGTAAAGCTGTTTGAAGGAGGCTTGTGGAAAATATATGGATCAAATATAATATTTGTTGCAGATGAAATTCCACCAAACAGGTAGTCCCCATGCCTGTAATAGTTAATTGACCTGGTCCAATAATCACTCCTCACATTCCGTGGACATTTTGGTTTCAGCATTCCACAGACAGCAGGAGCCAGAAATATCAAGATTCCCAGCAGCTGCCCTATCATACTGGCAATTCCCCCTATAGTTTGCACACGCACACACAATGCACACTTTCAAAGGGTCACAGAAATAGCTAGGAAGGGGACAGCTGCTCTCAGAAGAGCACAAGCACAGAGCTCACGCTGGCACAGTCCCTGCCTTCCCTAAGTCACACCATGGGTTCCAAACAGCACAGGATGCTGTTCAGGATTTGGAGGAGAAAGTAGCAAGTGCTCTCCTTGGTCTGAGCTTTCTTGCATCAGCTTGAAAACTCCACTGGGCTCAGTGAGATCCCTGGAGCTTTGCTGCAAAGCAGAATAAATCACCATGATTTTAGTAATTAGAGAGAAGCCACTGCCTGCGTCCTTCAGCATGTCATGGACTGGCTATATGGTCCCAGTGTGGTTGTGCAGCTGGAAAAAATGTTTTTGTGTGACTTGCCAGTGCAGTTCTATTCTTTTTTTTTTTATAGAAATTTTATTAGGATTTTAAAACTAAAACTACAAACAACAATCATCGCACACACCAGATTTACTGGATCAGCCCCCTACTACATATCTTTTAACATTCTATGATCATACTAGAATCCATTCATAATAACTTGAAAGCATCGTTGGATCAAAACCAGGTCCCGTTTCTCTAGCCAATAAGATAATAATGATAATAATCCAAATTTGATAGAAGTCACTATCTTCCTCTTCTTCATCCATGAAATCAGTCTCATTATTTCCTACAAAGTCCTGTTTCTCTTGAGCAATGTCAAAGGGAAGCATCTCCAAGTTAAATGAAATAGAATATTCTCTTTCTCTTTCAGTGGTAAGTTTGATCTAAACATTTCTGGACAATTCAAAATCTTTTCAATTTTCTAATAGTAAATAACTTCCTCACTACCACAATTACACGTAAACATCAAAAATATCCATTTAACATCTCTACAATTGTCTTACCTACTCTACTTGGTGATGAGTAATACTTATAATATCTTTTAGAACATTTTTCTTTAAGCTAAATTACTAGTGTTTCATCTCACTTACCATTTAATCAAATATGGTTAACTCCATATAAAAGCCAGGTGTTTACAGTCTAACATATATCATCAACAACAGTAACTTATTAGAAATACAGTCAAAGATATCCATTTAACAATAATACCTTTTAAACAGGATTTCATTGAGCTAAATTGCTACTATTTTACCAGCAATAATAGCTTAGCCTTTCTACATCACATGTAAGCATATCAAGCTATATAAATCACTTTTTTTTTGGAATAGAAAGAAAGAAATTTCCCTTATCTTCCCTTTGCACCCCTGCCAAGTTTACTTTTTCTTTTTCTTTACCCCTCTACCAGACCTTTCTGTTTTTTCCCCATTAAACCACCGTAATGTCTGTAATGGAGTCTTCAGTTGCAGCCACATAAACATAACCTCTTTTAAGTGGTCAGCTAAATTGTCCTTCTCTAAGATGACATGCAGATCCCATGGAAGTTTGCTTCGTAATGTCTGTGTCTTGAGTTGTGGCCAAGCTGTCTTCACCTTCTCATCTACAGCACACAGATCAGTTGCACTTATTTTCTTTCCAGTTTCAGATTTTCCTTCTGCTTGTTGGATATTTTGCATATTCTGTTCAGGTGCGAGTTGCTTGTCTAAAGCCTGATCAATAGAAGTGCTTAATTTATCAAAGCCACTTTTTTGTTCAGTTAAAAAACAATCAAGTCACTCTAGAACAATCTTCTGTCGTATTATTATCACCTGCTGGGATAGTTGCACAGCTGTTAAAGAAGCCTATATTTTGAAACATGCCTTCCGAATTTCTTCCATAGTAGCAGTAGATTAGCAAGGCTTGGCAGGTGTCCAAGGATCCCCAGAACAAAGAGAAAAATGGTCACCAATTCTTGGCAGTAGTCCTACACAGATGAATAAAAGAAAGATCCTCTATTACTCAGTTCCACAGCACAATTATTCGCCCTTGGAGAGATAAAAGAAGATAAATCTTTTCCTTACTTACAAAAAGTTCTGTCTTTCTCTCCATTATGCAATTCGCCACTTTTCAACTCCGTGGGGGGAAGGTTTCATTCCCCCTCCATCTGAAGGGCTTTTTAATTAGCAGGAAATACAGCTTATTCCATGGGTATCATTGCAGAGAAAAGAAACAAAAATAGGTTCCAATAGATCCAGTGTGTTCACAAAAGCTAAAACAAAACTAAAAAAAGGCAGTATGTCGAGAATTTGTAGAGGGCAGCTCTCCCTCTGGTACTACCCAGCTGAGAAAGCTTGATTTCCTCCCACTAAATGTGGAATTGCCATTCCACATCATCTGGGGGATTTGCCAAGCAATCTATCTCAGCTCCTACAGAGCTTAGATTGAGCCCCACGGCCCACCACCGGGCAATTACCAACGTGATAACGGAGGTTCATTAATCACGTCTGTATCATTCCGACGCCATACTTCTTCCTCCCTGTGCAGTTCTATTCTGTCGGTCAGTGGGGGACAGTTTGGCCAAGTTCAAGTGAACTTTTATGAAGAAAAACATGTTGATATCACAAAGGTTACAATATGCTTAGTTATTAAGTCTTCTCCAGACATGTGCAGACATATTCCAAATAAGCCCATCTAAGGTACCTATGAGCATTCATTGCAGGCATTCTTGGCAAAGGTGACCCAATATCAAATTAATTCACTTCCTGGAGTATTACATTTCATTCATACAATCTCCATCATATGCAGAATAAAACTACACAAAAGAGAACTTCTTTCTTCAAACTAAATGGGGAAATATTTTCCCCTTGCTATTTCCACAAATGGCTGAACAACAAAAGTTCAACAATAAGACAAGGCCTTTGTTAAAACCAAACTGATCC